GTACGGGTACGGGTACGGGGCGGGTAAGTACATACATGTACCCGTACCCGTACCCGATTTAATATATCGGGTTTTACCCATACCCGTACCCATACCCGGTCAAACCGGATATTTTCCGTCAAAGTCGGGACAGGTTCAGGTATTACCCGCGGATACAGATATATTTATCATCCTTAATTGTAATAATATGTGGAGAAGGTAGTTTGTTCAATTAAAACGTGAGGTAAGAAAATTGAACACTTACCATACATGATAAACCAAAAATGCAACGTATTAATTTTTTTTTAAAAGAATCCTTTTCTAGGTTAATGTGAGGGCAAATATCATTATCATTTAACTACCAAAAGAAATATCATTATCATTTGACAACTTCGAATTGGGCCAACATGGTTTCTTGTAGTTTTCAGGAAGTGGTCTTACAATGCCATGGAATAACATACTATATATTGGGCTAAAACACAACAGCTTATAAACGTCATGTTTGAAATATCACCCCTTGTTTCGACCAAGACAAAGTACCACCCCCTCTTCTGGACTGAAAACAAATTTTAATATAAACCCAAAAATTAATAACATGTTTGACTTAATATATAATAATAATAATAAAGTTACATTATTTTATTTTATTTCCTATTTGAGTATTAATTTCATTAACATCAGTCCTTAAAATTTTGGTTAAAATTAAAAATCAAATGTTTTTATTAAAAAAATGTAAAAGTGTGATAAGTATTTTGTTCAATAAATATTTTTCTTTTAGTTGTTTTACTCCAGCCTTAAGGCTGGTGTCAATAAAATTATTTTAATATTTGTCCAGGAAATGATATAAATTACTTAACAAAAAAGGGCAAGCATGCATTTTTTGATAGATTAATTAACCTTATCATTACAAGTTTGAGTAACATTAATTGGGCCTGTACTCGATAACCTATAGTATTGGACCTACACTTAGTCACCCAACTAATCAACATATAAATGTCACATTCCCCTTTCTCTATTTTTGTACCTTTTACCCCCAAAATATTTCTTTCTTTCAAAAGAAAGCTTTTAGAATGTATTATTGTTCCCTATTAATATATTCTAGAAATATTCTTTTAATTGACAATGTTGGTAATATTTAAATTAATCTTTCTACAATAAATAAATATTATATACAATGACATATAAAAAAAATATCATTATAGATATAATATATATATATATATATATATATATATATTTATTATGTTATACTATAACTTATACATTTTTTAATTATATCTATATAGGATAAAAGTAATTTTTAGTAATAAGTATTGTATACTTTTTTTAGTGTTATTGGTTAATATATTTTAGAAAAGTCCGTTTAGTCGTGTAAAAGACCTGTGAAAGAGTTGAATTTTTAAAAGAAATAAATTTGAAGGCAACATAAGATATGAAACATGTTTATCGTTTTTTTCTTCCCTTTGATTTTTATATATAATAGTAGATTTGATATTAATTATATTGCGTGGATGTATTCATTTTTCTTGCTTGATTGCGTCGCCAAGAATTTTGAAATTCAAATATTAAATCACATCACGATCGAGTTAAGATATAATCATAGACTTTGGTCAACTTTGATATACCAACTTTTGGAAAATATACATCCTACTGTTGAAAATTTTGCTGTCAAAAATGATTCACTTTTGTATTGGTCTCATTTGTCTGATGTGCAAATTTCATAGCAGACAAGTTAATAGTTATCTTATTGGAATCTTTTGTCCAAGTCAAAAGCAAAATGTTCCAAAAAATTTATTTATATTTTTTTTCCGTGGACAGTAATGATTCACCCTAAACACGCCATATTATCACTAATAACATGTTGAGTACAGTTTAATTCAAATTAAATAATTTTTCTATAAAAATAAACGTAAAGAATTTTGAGCACCCTGAATAAAAAATTTAGCTCAAGAATTGTCTCTTATGATCCAAAGTAATTGAAAGAGTTCAATTGAATTTCGGTTCATTTTCAGAGCAAATTTTTACTATTAATCGATCAGAAATTATGATTAAGTTGGTAATTAAAATATTTATTATAAAAATTAACAAATTAATCATAATTGGATATCGTTTAAAAATCATCTACATTGTTAAAGTATGCACTATTTAATCTAAATGAAAAATAATTTTTTACATTCCAACAAAGTCTATACATTATAGACTCGACAATCGAGAAAACGAGAGAGATGAAAAGAAAAAAGTGGTAGAGGTGATGAACAATTAAATAAAAAAGTACAGAAAAATTGTCTATCGTGAGTATTACACAACTATATTTATAAGAGTAATGATACATATAATATTGTAATTAAATAACCCATTAATATATTAGTTTACGTAATTTTTTTTCTATCATCGCATATCATTTATCATGTTTAACACTCACACCTTACTCTCACATATCATGAAAACAATTTATTTAGAGAAGAATAATGTATTTGACATTTATTTTATGTAAAAAAAAAATTTAAATTAGTGACTATCATAATATCACAAGTAAAATTAGTTTTTGAATAAATGGATTGAAGAATCAGAAAAAAAATATATATTTACATTTTCTCTTCTTGTTCTTTTGCAATCATATTTATATGAATAATTTTCTTATTTGTAAAAGATATAATAGTTAGTAGATAGCATTAGATGGAACTTAGATAATAAAATAAAAATAAAAATTGAAAGTGAAACAAAGCCAGCCAATGTCCAACCTCAGTGATAGAAGATAGCTCTTATGGTCTTTGTTGGACAACCCCACACTTCCACTTTCCCTCAAATTTTGATAAGAAAGTCTTGACATTGAAGAGAGAGAGAGAGAGAGAACCTACAATTCTTCTCCCTTATTTCTATGGAGGACTTCAACTACAACAGATCAAGGTCTCATGGAGGTGGACAAATGATGCAGATGGAGAGGTACCATGGAGGAGCACCACCACCAAGGCCTTATGATCTCAGGTCCTATAGTGTTTCCTATGCACAACCTCAAATGGGTCCAAACAAGGACTTGAATAAGATGAAGAAAGGAAAAAGCATGTCCAAGTCTTGGAGCTTAGCTGATCCTGAGTTTCAAAGGAAGAAAAGGGTTGCTAGCTATAAAATGTATTCTGTGGAAGGAAAGGTCAAAGGCTCCTTTAGAAAGAGCTTTAGGTGGCTTAAGGATAGGTACTGGCAAGTGGTTTATGGCTGGTGGTGATTAATTTAAGGGTTGTGACTATGTATTTTTTTTTTTTTTTTTACATATTTGAGTTTATTAATCAAATTCAACTTTACAAAATTAATTTGTAAAGTGAAAATTGCATCTCATTTATATATTCTATTTTGATCTTATCGTTAGTTGATATCATATTCTCTTTTTATTTATAATTTGTAGGAGTATGAGTTATGATAAATTTATTTGTAAATTGATAAATTGATGTTAATGATCTTCTCTATATTTTGTCTTTGGAGATTTTTTTAGATGAATCTAATGGATTAAAATTTTTTGGGTGTAGTGCCGTTCAACTTTGAGACTCTATCTCTACTCTTTCAAGTTACAAGAAATGAATTAGTTTTGCAGAACGAAAATAGCTTCATGATAAGGAGATCTTAGACTTGTTTATCCATGCATGCCCTTTTTCAATTCCTCTGTCTTTCCCTCACTCATGATTTAATTCAACGAAGTTAAATGATTTTTTTTCGTTATTGATTAGTGTTTGAGGGCATTCAATTCGTATTTTTTTATGGCTCCATGTGCTACAACTTACAAGCCATTGTGCCTTTTGCTGAGTTGTTTCATGTTTGCCACCGGCTCCTGACTATGGATCCAAAGTTTGACTGACACAGCAGATTGATCTTTGAATCAATTGTTTCCTGAAGTCTAAGCTAGTTGTGATGTTCTCCGGAAAGTTTTTACCATTCAGTAATACTATGAGAGTTAATCACTTATACACTACTAGTGTAAAAAAAATTTTCATTAGCAATCAATTATATCTCTTAATTGTGTCATGTCACTATAAACACATTCATTTTTAATAGTGACATGACACAATTAAGAGATATAATTAGTTGTTAGTGTAAAAAAACTTTATACTAGCAGTGTATAGGTGATTAACTCATACTATAAACACAAATAATTTTTATACTCAACATATTTTTGTCATTTATAATATTCAATGTCGAGACTTTATTCAATGAAATTGAATATAATTTCCCTCGAACTAACAACTCTTTACAGTTCTTCTATGCATGAAATTACATATTTGATAGTGTAAAAATGTTTTATGCATCCAATCATAAAATTATAAAATAAATTAATGTATGAAATAATAATATTCTATTAATTTATTTTATATTACATACTTATACTAATTGGATAAAAAAATATTGAATAATAAAGTTTATGTTAATTAGATAAGAAAACACAGTAAAAACATAAAATAAATGATTTAATATTGGAATATATATTATTTAACATATTTTTCATGCGATAAATAATATAAATTTATAATATTAAAATAGATGATATAACATATTGGTATATTAAAAAAGAGAAAAAAATATATAGTAAAAAAGAAAATAAAACACAAAAATTTGTGTTTGTATCAATTGTATGAGAAATTTATTAAATAATAAATTATACAATTAATTTAATAAAATATTATTTTTATTAAATAAATTTATTATTTATTAATTTTAAATTAGATTAACATAGATAAGGAATCCATCAACAAAACAAAAATAAGAAATTTAAATAGACAATAAAGCCAAGCAGTAATGTTATATATAAATATAATATAACATTCGACTTATAATTAGAAAAGTTAAGTGGTTTGATAGTTTAAATAGTGAAATTTACATTAAAGGTCATGAGTTGTAGTTGTCATAAGATTACTTTTTATTATTTTCTAAATAAATATTATATTTTCTCATTATCTCAACTAGTTTGTATCATCACCAATTTTTATTAGTCCATGTAAGTTGTTATGTTACAACAAAATGCATGTCTCTCACCACATAAAATTTGAATTATTGGAAATATCCCTTCAAATTTTTGGTCCATTGATGTCTTCACTTTATTACCTCAGGCATGTCTCAAACATTATTTTAATATGAACAAAAATTAAATTTCACAACATCAAATTAATCTCTTGTATTTTATAACAGATTTTACAATTATCAAATCAAAAAGTTTGTTCAGAGTCATGAGTCACTTAAAATTATTTTGTGATGCTTTGAGATTTAATAGGTAAAAAAAAAAAAGTGAAATCAAATTCGTGAGATTATAAAAATTTGTAACAAAAAGTCTCGTTTGAGCTTTATGATTCAAATTTACAGACTATATAATTAAATACATAAAATTCTTATAGCCGAAAAACCCAGATGAGAGAAATGTAGATCAACCTAAGACAAGCTAGCTGGCAACAAGAAATGGCTGTTATACATTTTCAGTTACCAATACCATTCTACGAATGTGACTCACTCAGCACTCATATTTAAACACTCTGTCCTATGTTTTTATAAGCATAATTATGAGATTGTCTTGTACCCCAGCAAACAGCAATAGTTGAAGCCTGAAGCAAAGCATGCCATCAAATTAAATCGTGCAAATTATTCGAAAAACTTAACTGCCACGTGATGTAGGGACCACTATACTAGGCACCACCAACCAGATTTAGAACATTATTTTATTACTTTTACATGAAGTTTCGTATAACTATTACTCTATGGCCTGTTTGGTTTATGATTTTTTGTACTCTTTCATGTTTAAGTTTATATATTCTAGTGTAACTTCTTTTAAAGAACATAATTTTACCGTTCGTGAAATTCTGTTTGCAAAATAAATTCAAGGTTTTGATTATTTTTGTTTGAAATTAAATTCTTGAATTACTGCAGACACATAAGAATTATAGAACAATTTCTTCTGAGTATCCAAAGTTCTGCATTTCTAATTAGTATTAAAGTTCATCAAGTGCAACCACTAGTAGATATGTTAATTAATATTAATAAGAAATAATTTGTAGCTTTGGTTGCATAACAATTGAAAGTAACAGTCCAACAGATCGTGAAGGAGACCAAAACAAGTGAACAGAGTTAGCAGTGCAAGAAAGAGGAAGAAAAGTTGAAACATTTTCAGACAGTGGCATGTGGGAATCTATTCTATTAACGGTGGCTGCCACCGCCGGCAACAACATAGGAAAGATCCTTCAGAAGAAGGGCACTATCATTCTTCCACCTCTCTCTCTCAAACTCAAGGCAAGTTTAAAGTTTCATTTTTTTTTTTGTGTTTTTAATTCGTATGATTTGGTATTCATTAAAGATCTCACCTTTTTTGATATCATTGCATTTGAAACATGTGGGTGTCTATGAAATTTGAAATTGTAGTTAGTTTCTATGGCAGTGTTTATTTTTTGCCAATGTGAAATTAGACATTTTCCATGTATGTGTATGATTTGAGTGAGAATATGAGAATGGATTAAATACCAATATCATTTTTTTTAAGGTTATTTGGGCATGAAGTGACTGTTTGGTTATTTATCCCATTGTGATTTCAGGTCATAAGGGCGTATGTTTTAAACAAAACCTGGGTGATAGGTTTTCTAATGGATATATCTGGGGCACTATTGATGTTAAGGGCACTGTCTCTGGCTCCAGTAAGTGCTATATCGCATGCCAATGTGATGAAGGAAAAAAAATATGGCACTAAATTTAAAACACACCAAAAATGCAATTGATAGTGTTTTGCTTTGGTTTTTGACATTTGTATGGTGGTTTTCTTATGTCAAATGTATTATAGGTCTCTGTCATCCAACCAGTTTCTGGCTGTGGACTAGCAATTCTTTCAATATTTTCTCATTTTTATCTCAAGGAAGTGATGAATGCTGTTGATTGGGTTGGCATTACATTGGCAGGTTTTGGCACAATAGGTAAAGTAAGTTTTTGTTTACCTGAATTGCTTCCTTTAAACACCAAGGCAAGCAAGTTTGTTGGGAGAGGAGGGGAGTAATTTTTGGAACAAAATATGTTTAATAAAATCAGAAAAAAGAATTGTTTTTGATAAGGCATTTTGTTGATTTTGATTGCGTGGTGAATTTTCTAGCCGTTTGAATAGTTCAGAATTCAGATATACATATAATAAAAGTAATTGTGACCATTTTATTTGTCTGTATACTATTGTATTACACTCCTGTGTCTGAGGACCTGAGCAATAGACCAAATTTTTCTTGAGTTCTCTTTTTTATTATCTGGCTTCTGAGAAAACCAAGTCTGCTATTAAGTGTCACTGTATTTTATTAATTTTTATTTTGTATTTATGCGATGCTAATTGATTAACTATTATGTTTTTCTATGTTTAGGAGTTGGTGCTGGAGGTGAGGAGCAAGAGGTGGTAGCTCTATCTATTTTTCACATACCAGGACTGGCATTTGTTGTTTTCATCTTGTTTGTAGGTACCTTGTCTTATGAATCAACTAATTTTATAGTCTAGTTCCATTATGGTCAGATATTTAGCATTCATAAGTTTGGCATCATGGCAAGATGTTGTTTGAATCACTTGATTTTGATATACCGAGTGTGTGTTTGGGTGACCATTTACAATATCGATTTTGGATAATAGTATATCCAACTTAAAACTTTAATTTGATTAAAATTGATTTTAAAAGAAGTGATTTATGTTTAAAAACGTTTATCTTAAAAGTGAATTTGTTGAAAAATTTAGTGAGAATTCCCGATCCAATGTAAAGATAACCCTTAGATTAATTTTCTCTCACTTGATACGCTGAAATTTAGGGATTCGGAAAATTAATCTAAGGGTTATATTTTAACCCTCTCATCTCTCATAATAAATTTCTTCTCACTTGATACGCTCCCTATATATATATAGAGAGAGAGAGAGGAGAGATCCTTTTACATTGGAAGTAAGTCTACCTAGACTTACTCTGTTCAATAACTCGTGTTCTACATCAAATATCAACGATCCAACCGTTCAATTTAAAGTTCTTAATGTATAGATCGAATATGCAAATTTTTAGAAAATTTTAAAACCATTTGATACTTCATTTCATTAATTCAAATTGACGGATAATCATAAAATCATTTTATACATTGATTCGAATTAATGAAATGAAGTATCAAATGATTTTCAATTTTTCTAAAAATTTGCAAATTTGATTTATGCATTAAGAACTTTAAATTGAACCGTTGGATCGTTGAAATTTAATGTAGAACATGAGTTATTAGACTTACTCCTGAAATAAAAGGATCTCTCCTCATATATATATATATATATATATATATATATATTCTTTTAATCAAATGTACTTTTAAAAGTAAGAAACAAAAAAAGAAAAAAGATTTGAGACAATCATAAGCACGTTTAGTAAACTCAAACCTGATTTTGAAGTCTCCTACTTCCTAACATGATTATGAAGTTTGTGAGGAAATACTTGAAATGATTGTGAAAGATGACATAGTGGTATTCTATTTTTAACTGGAAGCCTATGCATAGTGTGGCTTCCAAACTTATATTTGGCCTTGAATCTGCTTATACAAATGCAAGATGTCATGCTTGAGAGTGTTTTGTAATCCATGCATGAAGTTGTATATTCTTATTTCTATGAGAAAAACCTCATCTGAATACTTGATAATCTGTTTTTACCACTTATTTTCACTGGATGTTATTTCCCCCTCAATCTGGTGCATTTAAAATGCAGAACTCTGATGTCATCCTTAACGATGATATATAATCAATGCGAAAAGTAATACATGTCTTTAAAATTAAATTGTTATTTGAGTGTGTGGTAATCAATTTTTCCGAGTTGTTTTCATTAAAAATTACCCCTTGGTTCTTGAATCTATGCATGTCATTAGTCAATAATCAAGATGAAGGCATTTTGCTGGTAGCATTATTAGAAGACTATTATTTACAATACTTGCTAATGATAGTTAGTATAGGCTTTAATGACTTATATGTAAGAGATTATGAGTTCACCAATCACCAGTGCAATCAAGTGGTATTACTGTCTTCCAGACACTATTTTTGTTTAATTGTTAGAAACATTTGTACAGATACTGCTTAATGGATGGCTTCGAATATGCAAGCATCAACGTAGAGAACAAGAGATGGTATTCATGTTTTATTTACATGTTTATTTTCATTGAATGCCTCCATGTATGGTGATTTGGTGATCTATGTTGTTTTCTATTCTTCCATCACTTGACCTTTTGATGTTATGCAGATGGAATACGATGTCGTTGAGGAAATCATCTATGGTTTGGAATCTGGTATTTTGTTTGGGTACTTTTTCATACCTCTCCACTCTATTCACAATCACGTATTCCATTTATGTTCAGATACATCTCACTTTTTCATATACCTCAACTACTCATAGTTGTCTTATATGCAAGGGAACAAAACTAGATGAAGCATCACTCTTAATTTTGTTAACACCTAAATGCAGGATGTCAGCTGTAATATCAAAGATGGGATTTCTATTCCTAGAGCAAGATTTTCCCAAGCTATTGGTTCCTGTGTGCATCATGATCAGTGTGTGTTGTAGTGGCACAGGCTTTTACTACCAGGTATTCTGAAGAGCACTTTTATATGATGTATACTGTTGTGAGAAGTATTAAACCCTTTAAGCATGGAGGGAGTTTAACCTGTTTCAGTCAAACTGCTGAGACATTATCTTCCCTGCTCCTGCAGACACGTGGCCTAAAGCATGGGAGAGCTATTGTAGTTTCTACATGTGCAGCTGTGGCATCAATTTTGACTGGTGTTCTTGCTGGGATGCTTGCTTTGGGTGAGCGACTTCCTTCTGAACCAAAAGCTCGCTTGGCACTTCTTCTTGGATGGTAATATAAGATGTTATGCTTTGTGTTTTGCAGTTTTACAAAAGAAAAGGCCAAATTAAAATTCAACCCTTCCATTTTTTTACTTCACGCATAATAACCATGCACATTTACAAAAAGGGAAGAGGATTCAGGAGTATTTGTGTCTTTTGAAACAGGATACAACTTGAACTTTTAGATTGATAGAGCCCCAAAATATTCGTGGAGAAATGAGAAATATTCAACCAAGAAAATCTCTGTTAGGGACTAATTGCTAGGTATAGGACTTGAGCGCCATATTGGATGTATGGGATTTTGGCATGGAATTTGTAAGACCTTGAGCACTCTGGCTACAACGGTTAGCTTGTGTGGTGTAGTTCTAGAGAGGTTCTTATCAATTGGTATCAGAGTTTTTCACCATGTCTCTCAGCTGCAAACAAGTGCCGTGGGTGACAATGCTGGCATTGGAGTGTTCTTTTGGGACTAGTCAAAGTGCTAGTGCACAGTTAACCTAGGTGGGCTCAGGGGCTGCATCTCATTGTAAGATGTTAAAATCCAACTGTAAGGTATAAAACTTTAGTCTTAATACCGCAGTATGGGATTCTAGTGAAGGTTTTTAAGGCCTTGGGCTCTCTAATTATGATGACTAGCTTTTTGTGATTTGGTTCTCCTAAGGTTGTTATCAATCTCTTCCTCATTCCTGAAATCAAGAATGAGAACTGTTGATTCTCATCTTACATTGATCTACCTAATGGATTGGAAGTTACAAGTTTTCATGTTCATTGTTTTCCAAGGTTCCTAACATCAAACAATGCAGAAACAAACATAAGTAGTTCAATACTTATTTCCATTGTGAAGAAACTACATATTTAGTCGTCTGTTATAAACATTCAGGCGCTTTCATCTAATGTGTTGTGCCAGTCTTTATTTTGGTTGGTGAATAACTTAAACAATAGTTGAAAACATAGATTGAGACTATCTTGGAAAGACCCTATATAGTAATTTTGTTCTTCTAACAAAATGCAAATCTTGATGTTCTTATACACATGAAACATTGTGCTGCAGGCTACTCATCATTGTTGGTGTGATTTTACTTGTTGGTTCAACACGGCTAGTGAGATTCCTTTCTTGCTCTTCACGACGGAAAAGAAGCAATGTGGATAAGAATTATGGTCCTAGAAGAACCACTTCTTCCCGGGTGAGGGAACCAAGTCCAAGTGTTGTCATTCAAGCAGCAACATTAAATCCTTTACTATCATCATCTTCCAAAGAAAAAGCTTGAGTTGATATTAGCACGATAATGTTCCTTCATCTTTCATAGAATTTCTAAGCATCAAGTTGCCTTCTAATCCGTTTGCCGAGACCAGGGTGTATTCTGTACAGAGAGCATGACATTTTGGATGAAATATTTGTTAACTTCTGATGATGCCTTGTGAAAACTATTCCTGAACTGCCACTCTTTCTGCATTCGTGGATTGTATAAGACACTGATATAGCATATCAACATACAGAATTTGTTTAATTTTCACTCAAACAATTTTGATAAAGAACAGTTTACCCCTAAGCATTGGTGCAGTGCTAATCTTTTTATGCAGGTGCTGCTTTTATTAGATGTGCTAAGGGTGTGTACTTCATCCTCCAGAGTTTATCACGAGGCAAAAAAATTGATTCTAGCAGATTGCTTCAAAACCACTGTTCATATAGGTGAATTTAAGGAGTGGATAACTTATTTAAAAGAGATTCTAGAAGTTCCTAGATGTGATAATTAATCTAGATGTTGTATCACATGATTTATTTATTACAAAAATTAAACATGCAAAGAAGAAAACTCTTGCATAGAATAAGTCTTTTACTATATATATATATAT